TCTGTAGAAAGGAGGGAGAGGAAGGAAGAGGAGGGACAAAACAGATTCACCAAGAGGAGCAGAAGGGAATGGCAGAGTCCTGGAGGTGTCTTCACCTCTGGGCACGTCCCTGTGGCTGACAGACACCAGCTGTGTCCTGTCCTGGGTGCGACCAGTTCCCAGAATCTTCCTATTTGTGCCCCATTAGGCTAAGCTAGCCAGAAGATTGTTTCTGTAACCTGCCCCATAAGGAGCCTTTCCTGATAGAGCCAAGTAGAGAAGCATGGAAGGAAGAGAGGGTTTCTCTGCCACCGGAAGTTACCTGGGTTTCACCCCACAGAGACTGGGAAAGCCCAGGATCTCTGAGGTGGATGGAGACCCCGCAGCAAGCCCAGAACAATTGCTACGTATCTTCCACTCTTTTCTAATCTCAATTGCTCTGCTTCCTCACCCTCAGAATCCTAAATGGGCCATATGCAGCCATGTTGATAAGATTTTGTCTTAAAGGTTGCAAAAGCACAACACTTGACCATGCTTATTTATAAATACCATCACAACCTTAAATAAATACATAACTATCGTCTGACCACCACACTCACCTACTGGACCCTGGATCACCCATAAAAACTCCATTAGCCTAACAAAAGTTTTGGCCTTCAAAAGGCATTGCTACCTCCCAGAAATCCTGGAAGTAGTGTCCTACCAAGTCCTAAACAGGATAGCTCCTTATGCTGTAATATCTTTTTAGGGCAAGGCCTGTTGAAAATACCTCAGGTTGGGGGCAAGGTGTGGGGAGTCACACCCGGAATGAACAAAAAAGGAAACTGACTCCGAGGATTCGAACCTTAGCTTTTCCTGGTCAGCTGGTCCACCAAGAGGTGGCCTGACATGTCTGATGGAGAGTCAAGGCCGGTGTTTCTCAGTGGGGTTGGTCAAGAGCCTCCACATCCTTTAAGAATGCTTCTGCAACCCTTATTATTGAACTTGGACTAGTAAATCTCACTCATTTGACTTCCACTAAGTTGAACCCTTTGCTAAGTTAAACAAGTGAAGGATTGAAGCTTA